CAAAAACAACGATTTTTCGTCTCAAATCATGACGGAATCGAGTCGTTGGTGGTCGATTTGGTATGGAAGCATATGGATTCGTCTTATAATCGGCGGCTTCAGGCGGATTCACATCTGCGACGGTGGCTGCTCTCGCGGCGGAGGTGGAGGAAACGATGGAACTGAAGAAATACGTGAAATCGAGACTGCCTGGAGGTTTCGCAGCTCATAAAATCATTGGCACGGGACGGCGAAAGTGCGCCATCGCTCGAGTCGTGCTCTAGGAAGGTACCGGGAAGGTTATCATAAACTATCGCGATGCCAAGGTAATTTATCTGTGTTCTAAGTCAATTTCTTATTTCTGTTCGATGATTCGAGGATGATACACTGTTAATGGTGGTTTGATGTGTTCGCTTAGGCCTTGATTTTGGAAAAATTGGAGCTTTCCCCAGCTGAATTAACCGATCGTATATGGGGTTTATGTTATTGAGAGGTTCAATTTGAGTTCTGGATTAGGTATTTCAACAGGAAAAGCTATGGAAACACACTTGTCTTGTATTAACATTTCTGGATTTCAGTGGAAATTATGCATAGTGTGTGATCGAATGAAGTATTTAGTAGTAAAATTGCAGCAATGTATTGCAGAGAAAGTCATGAGCTTTACAATGACATTCTCTATTATGCAGAATATATAAATGTCTTGTGATCAAACTGTATCTGTATGTAGTTCTCTATGATCTAAGAGTTGTATCAGCACGTTAAGGATTAAGCTGAAGCTGGAAGAACATTCTAAATAATAGTTCTTATGATGAATTCAGGCTGTTTAGACACGCATAAGTCATTTATTTGGGTAGTTTTAATGTGTTGTTTTGTGAATGTGAAAGATTTGAATCCATACCTATATTGCTGATGATGATGATCCTTGTAAACCTCTTTCAGGAGTATCTTCAGGGAAATTCATTGTGGCTTCAATACGTTAAGGTTCCATTAGTGACTTTGGGTTACGAGAACAGTTACGATGTGTTTGTGAAAGCCCATGGAGGCGGACTCTCTGGTCAAGCTCAAGCTATTACTCTCAGAGTTGCTCGTGCCCTCCTAAAGGTAAGTGCAGACCATAGATCGCCTCTGAAGAAGGAAGGTTTGCTCACTAGAGACTCTAGAGTTGTTGAAAGAAAGAAGGTCGGGCTCAAGAAAGCGCGTAAAGCACCACAGTTCTCGAAGCGTTAAAAGAATCTGTATATTATTGTTGGATCAACTCTTCCAACACTCTCCTTTGCCTCCAAATTCTTTTTTAAACTCTTGTGTCTATTTATGTGTGTTTCCTTATTTAAGCTTATGTGTAGATGAACAAATCTCTGTTTTGTTTTCAATAGAATGCCAAGTTGGTAAGTTTTTGAATCATATGAACTTATCGATTGTGAATTGAATCGTATGAACCAAATCTTGTTCATATTGACTACAGAAAACACGAGATCAAGGATCATATTTTATTAATAGCGTACTGTTGGAACAAAAAAAGATCAACATGTTTGGATCAAATCGACACTCCTAATCGCTTTGTCTTTTCCTTTTGCCGACAATGTACC